CTAACTACGTATACCTACCTCCTCTCTCTTCGTATAGTCGTTCTTACTTAGTAAGTAGCGAGACGCGGAGGAAGGACGAGAAGAAGAGACGACGCGAGAGTACTAGAGAGAGAGAGAGAGAGAGAGAGAGAGAGTATTCAATGGAACAACGTGAATGAAAAAAAGAAATGCTAACATGTCTTATTTCTCTCTCTCTCTCTCTCTCTCTTTCTGCAGCAAGAATGAGAGGAAGCAAAACTAATAATTGTTGCCCAAAACTGAAAAACCAAATTAAATACACAACTAAAATCAGTCTCCAAAATTGTGGTACGAAATGGATATGATCCTGATTAATAAATTGTTCTAGTTTTCTTAGGAGGCATTGTGAAACTCCTTTAAGAGATAAGCATTTATTTGAAATAACCCTAAAGATTCTCAACAAATCACCCAACACTCAACGGTTCCTCCACATCAAAATATTTATGAGCCGCTTGGACCAGGGTTTTGGGCAGATTAGAAAGAGAGAGAGAGCTTAGGTTAGAGCTCGAGTTTGATTAGGACATCTAATGTCTGGATGAGGGAGGGATCAAGTGATAAAAGTGTAGAAGCACGATTTTAAAAAAATAAAAACTTGTTACAGAAGTGCATCTTTAAAACTTCAAATAAGGGTGGCTTTGCAAACTCAAGTGACAAAAATGAGTTTTCCCTTCAAAAAACAGTCAAATAATATATGGGCATCTTATCTTTATGCTGCACAGTTATATTTTTGTTTGTTTATTTATATCTCAATGATTGCTCTGCTTTGAAAGAAATTGACATCTTGTAGACTTGTATGTGAATCATGATAGGTCACCGTTCAATTGTTTGAAAGCTACTTGGCACATACATGAGAAATGCAACTCATGCTTAGAATTTATTTTGGAATTACGATCTTTAATAGATGAGAACATGATCTTCTAGGCTCAAGCTCTTTGTATCATGTGCAATATATATTACGAGTCCTCTTGGGTTTACTATGGTACTCTTTCTCTCCATATCCCTGTAGATGCAGTGGTCCTCACACACATATTCACGACAATCTGGCAACACTCATTTTCAACTATTTTAATTTGCATGGCTTCATGGACCGACTGGTTACTAATTTATTATAGAGTAGAGCCCTAGTTGACATTGGGATTGATATGATAACAAGAAATGCCATGCAGTATTGTCCTATTGAGTTTGTATTTGTAAGATCTGGTTTGATTCTCATTCATAAAATTTCCCTTAAAGACTAGAAGAAAAATATTTTTCTGATTGTTTGAGTTTTATTGTTATTATTATTATTATTATTATTATTATTAACAGGCCATGAGGTTTGGAGATCTCCCGGAATGGGCTGTCGAACTCTGTGGGTTAATTCGGGATGTGGTGTGCTTGTATGATTTCATCCATGAAGATAATTGCGTGTCGACTCAAAATGCTAAATGCAAAGAAGAACCAACTCCCCTAGCACCAGATTTATTGTGGAGGGAACCCTTGTTTGATCAACTCATTGTGAATGCATACCAACCAGGTGAGGTATAACTTTTACTTGATCTTTGGCACTGATCAACCCGAGCATTGATTTGTCCAATGGGTTTTGAGTTTGCCTTTTCATTTGTTCCATTTTTCCTGAGGATGACATTCATGATATCAATGAAAGAGTGGCTGCTATGCATGGTGTTCACTTCATTGCCTCATTCAACATAATTAGGAAGTGGGAACTGTGGGCACAAATTTTGTTTTTCGTGAATCTCATGAGTTGTTGAAATAAGGCTGGTGGTTGATGTGTTGAAGTTTTGATTCGAATCAATGTGGTAGAGGAGAAGCATGCCATGGGAGGGTTCTCCAAGTATGGAAAAGAAAGCTCAAATGATATTAAGGGGTTGTTTGAGAGTGAAAAGAAAGGGTAGTAGTTCTATAATGGCCCAAGTGGCATGCTGCATAATGGTTAGTAATAACAGCAATAAAGGATGGAATTAGAATGGGGAATTATAGGGTCAATAATTAGTTACATTGGTATGTTAAAGGGTGATTCCTTTGGCATTATATTTATTCTGCATGCATGTTTCTATGCATTTGTGTGAATGTATTTGGCTTGTGAAAAATTATGTTTAATGGATATATTATACACCTACAAGCACGTAGGTTTAATGGATATATTATACACCTACAAGCACGTAGGTGGTCAATAGAGAAAGCATTGACATTTGCCTATTTTTTTTTTGTGTTTTTTGGGCAGGGCATATGCGCCCATGTAGACCTGATGCGCTTTGAGGATGGAATTGCGATCATCTCATTGGAGTCATCATGTGTGATGCACTTTACACTGGTTAGAGAGCCTAGTAGCTCTAGCAAAAATGCGTATGAAAATGTAGATGAAGATGCAGGGGTATTTCGGGACATGTGTGTTCCTTTTCTTCTGATGCCAGGAGATCTTGTTCTTATGTCAGGAGAGGCTCGCTATCTTTGGAAGCATGAGATCAACAGGAAGCCGGGATTTCAGATGTGGAAAGGGCAAGAAATTGAGCAGCACAGGAGGATATCTGTTACTCTGAGGAAGCTTTGCCAACCTCGTTAGCTACTTTGTTTTGATTCTTTCTTTTCTTTTTCTTCATTGCATTTCTCGTTTATTCTTTTGGCTAAGAAATCTACCTCGAGGGAAAGAATACCGTGCAACCATGGACTATTGAAAGTCCATCAAGTGTCATCATCATCCAATCAATGGGTGGGTGGTGATGGAAGAAAAACACTGACCAACCAATTGTTGGGATGATAGATGATGGAGGGAGAGGACATGTCATTACCCAAACTGGGTCCCACTGCCAATTGTTGTTCATCTATTGGTTGAATGGTGATGACCCAAGAGACCGTGGTTTTCCATAGTCCACTCCACTGGGTTACAATTCTCATATCTAGACTTAATTCTTCATGGAATATGTTGGAACTTTTCCACATGGGGCTGTATACTGTACTTGGTTGGTTACTCATACTCAAGTTCCACTGTCCATAGCATGCAGTTCTTATTTTTTTGAAACTAATAGCATGCAAAAGTTCTTTTTTCACTTAGAAGGGGGTGGGGGATTATAAAATTGACTAACAGCTCAGCACTCACTGTCCGTGAGTTGGATAAATATGAATGGTGGATATAGTGATTGATTACTCAACGCTATGCTTGTACCAAGCATACCATATTTCGGTGTTAGCAATTTGGGAATTAAACGTTAGAGGAGATGCTACAAAAGGGTGTATGAAAGATTATACCTAACATCCATCTTCCATATGCCTGGGGTTGAGAATTTTTTTTTTAGGGAAAAGGTGAGCTTCATTAAGATAATGAAATTTACGAGGAAGAAGAGAACAACGGAAAAAAGGAAGAGAGGAAGACGAGAAGAGAAAAGAGGAGGGGGAGAAGTAGGAGGGAAAAAAAAAAAAGAGGGAAAGAATTCTAAGAGGAGCCTTGGAATCAGTCAAGAAGAGGTGGCCTCGTTAGCCAAGGAATCCGCCATAGAGCTAAATCTACGGACAAGATGGAAAAGAAGATCTCCATCCCAGAAAGCAACAATAGCATTTCATCTGAGTCCGCTCAACCGCCAAAGAGTGGAATCCAGGTGGGAATACCGAGATATGATGTTTGCTTAACCTTGTGAATAGGGTAGAGAGTTTACCCGGTTTGGTTTTGAAACTCGAATTTCAGACCCTATCTAGATGGATCTAACGGGTCGGATCTGGATTCAAAATTTTGATCTCAATAGTAGATTTGATGTGGATCCGAACTTGTTATTAAAATATTACATATATATATGTTATAATTTATTTTTTTAAACTTTGAGTCTAGCGAATGATACATTCACAATTACTCGATTTGAAATCTTATAGATAAACGTGGTTGTGATTTTTTTGTATTAAAAACAAAAGATTGTATGTAATGAGAATATTTACCTTTGATACAAATAGGTCATAATTACTTATAACCATCCGATGAGAAATGTAATAGCTTAAGTTTGTTACAAAGTTCGAAAAAATTTCTTTTTAACTTTAAGCATGGTCAATGAAATAAATGGGGCCTTCCCATTTCATATGCAATGGTCAAGATTGATTGTGATCACGTTGTACTAAAAATATATGGTCTTATTATATACTTTTCGTAAAAATAAATAGTTTCTTCAGTATAAAAAAAAAAGATTGTATACAAAGAGACCATTTACCTTTCATACAAAATAGTCACAATTACTTATAACCATTTGAAGTGAAATTTGATGGCTTGGATGTGTCATAAAGTTCGATAATTTTTTTTTTTAAAGTTTGAGCTTAGTCAATGGAATAATTGTAGTCAACCAATTTCATATCCAATGGTCAAGATTAATGTGACCACCATATACTAAAGGTAAATAGTCTCATTTTATATTTTCCTTCAAAAAAATAGATGGTTTATTTGTATATTTTATTGTATATTTTTTATGTTTTGAAAAAAGAAAATTGTTTCATGCAGGTTAGATTGCATTTCTACAATACGGTCCCAAGGTATAAAACATCCATCTTTAGTCCATCTAAAAACAATTGAAAGCAATGGTTCACATTTTTTCTTAATAGAATTATTATTATTTTTTTTCATATTCATAAGAGATTACATGTTCTTAAAAATTAAGTCCAAAAATCCATCTCAAAAATATATTTTTAAGAGGTGACTCATTTCTACACGGCCTTAAAAACCATGGGCTTTGAAAAAAAAAAAAAAAAAAAAAATCAAATAACATTTTTCTTAACTGTCTTACATTTTATTATTTTATACTATTTCACCCAAATAAAATTATGCGTATTTTGATGAACATTTTAAAATTAACTCAGATACAGTGTTAATATCATTAGTTTTATAAATTCTCCCTGTTTTTAAGATGAGCTCAAAATTTTATATAGTCATGAATTCCATTTCCTTCTATATAATGAGGCCAAATGGGAAGTGCCCTGATGTTAATCTGTGAGGATGTGGATTTGTCCAATTCTCTCTCTTGGTTGTGGTGCTGCCAACTATCGCTGCATGAGTCGCCACCTCATGCAACCGACGTCCCCTTAACTCTCCTCTTACACCCAAGTGTCATTTAACGCATTCTATTCTCCTTCTCCCTACTTAAATGGACGTCTTCTGTTTTAGCGGATCAAAACACCCACCTGCTTATGGCAGCGATCTCTCTCTCTCTCTCTCTCTCTAGAAATTTCAGACCACAAATTTCCTCTAAACTAAATTTATCTTGAAGTTTTTCTTTCTTGTGATCCCCATCTCTGTCTCTCACTCTAGATTTCTCCTTAAGATACCTCTCTCTCTCTCTAGATTTCTCCTTAAGATATCTCTCTCTCTCTCTCCCTGGGATAGTACTTTTCTCTCTCTCTAAGTAGTTTTTCTCACTAGAAATCCCAAACCCTAATTTTCCTCCAGGAACTAAATTTCTTTTGACGAAAACTTTCCTCCATAATCCCCCCTCTCTCTCTCTCTGGAAACAAGCTCAACCATCCCCAGTTGAGGATAACTCATCTCCATTTTCGTTAGCACTCTCATACCATGGACAATAATCTTAGGCACCGAGTGAACACAGATCGGCCCACCCCCACATCCACCAACACCACCAAAGACAGGAAGAAGATGGCAATGGCGAAGAAGGGTCTCCGTTCCCTTGCCGTAGCAATTGGCGTACCCCTTTCTCTAGGATTCATGGTCACATACTACTTCCCCACCCTTAACCAGCCTGGGCTTAAGACCCCATCGTGGTACCCTCCCCTGTGGACCCTTCACTTTGGGTGGCTAGTCTCACACTTTATCATGGGCCTCTCCTCTTGGCTGATTTGGGTAGAAGGTGGTTACCACAAGAATCCTCAGGCACTAACTGCGTATGCAATTCAATTGTTCTTGGGGCTCATGTGGGCGCCCTTGATGTTCGGGTTCGGCGCGCCGAAGATTGCTTTAGTCGACTTGGTTGCGCTGTTGCTGGCGATGTTGGCCTTTTTCAAGCATTCGAGTGGAGTGAACCCCATTGCTGCTGATCTTGTCAAGCCTTGCTTCTTATGGGTTGGTTTTGTGAGCCTTGTGACTTTTAATTATGCATGAGTTCTCTTCCTAAGGCACAGTAGATCTGGTTCATGTCAAAAAAAAAAAAGAAGCAAGGGTTTGGACACAGCTCCTTGTTCCTCATGTAGTAAATGTATAGTCTCTTGTTTTATTCGGCTGTGAGATTATACCGGGGGGATTTATCTGCCTTTTTTTTTTCTTTGAGCTTTTATTAATGTTGGGTTAGCTCATGTTTAATAGATAATCACGTATGTATATTGTGATCTTGGGTTCTAATGGTTATTATTAGTTCGTGTTGCTAATCGGGTTATGGTCAATAACCAGGCCAAATGACAGAAAAGCTCAAATGGAAAAGCAAATTGCCTGATTTTACATGAAATTGCATGAAATTATGGAAAATTCCGAGGATGGAAATTTCTTGAATTATTTTGCTTTTTCTCTATAACCATTTTCGGGAGCACACACTTTTTTAATTGTCCACGTTTATCGTGATTGTGTGCTATGGTGCTCGTCGTCTAATTGCCTTATTTTACATCCAATGAGGGGTTCATGCAAGGGTGGGGTTTCAATGAGTCAGCCGACCCATACTATACATTCGTGGGCCCCCTTTTAAACCATCTTAGAAACGGAATTTTAATCTAAAATTTCAAGGATTCATGATTTAGGTTAAGATGATAATGAACCAGATAAAGCATGAAAATTTTTATATTTAAAATGTGAATTTTTTGAAAAAAAGCTCTATACCGTATAATAGTCCTTTGTGAATTTTTCTACGACGTGTATCTTAAAGATAGATGGTGGCGAGAAAGTGGGCTTTTGCACCGGCTGACTCGTGAAGGACTTTTACCTTCGTACAATTCCAAAAAATTTATTTTGGATTATGCACAGGACATTTCCTCCCTGCAATCCAAAAACTTTATTGCGGATTTTGTGCCATATAGCCCTCAGGGCACCTAATTTCACATATAACGATTTAAAGGACCGCATTCCTACAATATGGGGTCCGTATAAAGCATAATAAAGCATCTGTTTTAAATATGGATGCAAATAGGTGGTCCATCTTAAAAACAAGTTTAACAACTAATGGTTCAAATGTTTTTTTAATGTAATTAATTTTTTTAGTTTTAATTTTTTTTTTCATATTCATGATTTTCATTTTAAGGATTATATATCCACTAAAAGTTAGGATCAAATTATATTTTAAAAAAATATTATTTGTCAATGCGGGCTGGTCACATAGAAATCGGGTCTATGATTTAATACACGTTGGGACTTCATATTAAAGAAGTAGAGGAGGTCATGGTTGCTGTTAGCTTAGGTTTGATCGTACTTTATGTTTTCATTAAAAAAAAGAAAAAAAAGAAAAAAAAGGGTCTTATGGTAAAAAGATAAGTTTTTTTTTTTGAGAGCAAGAAAGAAGCTATTAGGTTAGGTTTGATCATATTTATGTTTTCATTAAAAAAAAATTAAAGGTATCATGGTAAAAAGAGAAGGGGTATTTTTTGAGAGCAAGAAAGAAGCTCAAGGATCAGGATAGCATGATACTCATCTTTTTTGAGGGGTACTTTTGTGGGTTGGGAATGGATTTTCAAAGATGGAGATTGAAGATCGGTCACACAACGGGTTATGGGAATTGATTTTCAGAGATGGAGATTGGTCTCTATGAGATAGAGAGAATTTTTGAGAGATGCAATATTTTCATGAGTTTTGGGTTAGTGAGGTTTTCATTTTTAGAGAGAATCTTTCAGGTGCTTTCGAAGTTATCTTTTTGGTAGCAGTTTTACAGTGGAAAAGAAAGTAGAGATCGGGTTTAAAATGAAAGACCGGTGATGATTTTTTTTTTTTGATATTCAAATGTATTATCTACTATAATTTAAAATTGCATTTCTCATTGTGATAGTGGAATTCTACTGAGGTTATAGATATAGAGCCCTACGGGGGTAAATTACATAAATCGTGTTGTGGTGTGTATTTTTTTATGTTTGTTTTATTTTTTGCACTCGATTTTTAGTAGTATTCGTCTGCGTCACATTTAGCCTACACTATCTGGGTCGGATTTCGGTTCTTTCGGTTCAGGTAAGGGTTTGGAGAACCCTATAGTTGCTTCCTTGTTAAATTGATCATATTAATAGTACAATAAATTATACTTGTTATGATGTTCTCGTGTCAAAGACTCGAAATGTTTTGGAGACGAATTATTTGCCATCCTGTATTTATTTCGTTTAAAAATTCATCAAGCAATTATCTTTTCTATCTATTCTGAAGCTATAGGTCGTATCTTTTTTCACTATTCTTTATGGGTTATTTTTTTACCTTGAGTCCTTTAATTTTTTTTTCAAAAAACAAGAAAATCGAAAGGGTTAAACAAGGTAAATTATTAAATCGCTAATAAATTGAGAGTGTTTTGACAAGGAGAACTTATTGAGGTTCTATGGTTAATAAATTGAGAGTGTTTTGACAAGAAGAGTTTATTGAGTTCTAATATTACTAGTCGTTGCACGTGATATTGAAGATTAATTATAAAAATAAATTTTTATTTTGAAAGGACTTTCGATTAGAGATTGTTTTTAATATATCCATCTTCACATAATTATAGAGAGCCCACGTAATTATAGAGAGAAGATAGATCTACTTTGTCGATCTTATTGGATAAATTATCTAATTGAGAAACAATATAGTGAATATACAAATATAAATATTTTTTTTTATTATGTTTTTTTTTCTTTTTAATTATATTATTTACTAAATTAGTTTTGTGTATATTAATATATACTATTTATTTATACTTAATAATTATTTTGATAAATTAACAAAACTAAAGATGCTAAAAAGAAAAACAATAAAGAAATGATCTTTCTTTTTTTTTTCATTTAGCAATGTAAAGTTTACTATATTATTAACTTATATAATTTGTACTGTTATTAATTATGTTTTAGTTTTTTATATTTTTGGTTATATTATTTTTAGAGTAATGATTATATAGGACTTTTCCCCACCCACGTGTGTAGGATTCTAAACGATCACCATTAAAGTTGGCACGGATCTTTAGAAAAGTTATCACATAGGTGTAGGACTTGACTTTTCTATTGATCCATGCCAAATTAATGGTGATCCTTTGGGGTCCTACATACATGGGTGGGGGGAAGTCATATAGGATCATTTCTCTTATTTTTAATATAAATATGAAAATACAAAAAGTCACATGATACATATAATAAAATTATAATAAACAGGTAGTTATCACAATCAAAGCCAATCATAGTGTTGGTATTATTTAATTTTCCTCTTTCTATGATAGTAAAAAATTTCTTCTTTTTTTTTAATTTTATTTTGAATTTTAAAAATTATATAAAAAAAGTACATATAGAAAATGAAAGAAATATAAGAAGAAAAACAGAAATGAATATAGCAATAAAGCAAATTGGAAGAGTTGTTTTTTTCAATTACTAAATATAATAATATTATATTTTTTTAATTTTTTTATTTACTGAGGTGACTTGCATTTTGAGGTAGTTATTTCTACAAAATAATTTCAATTATGTTAGCACCTGTATAATTTGTATTTGTGGTTCATTATAATTATGGTTTTCCTATTTTTTGCATTTACAATTATATTATTCATTAATATAAATTAAATAATTTTTACACAAACTATAAAAAAATTTATTTAAAATTGAAAACAAATAACATTAATGATTTCAAATATATGAAAGAAATTTACATAAGATAAAAAGCTACATTATATATCATACATTCAACTACTTACTAAATAGAAAAATGTTTTTATTGAAATATAAAAGAAAAGAAAGTATAATATGTGTAAATAGAAGTTATGAAAGAAATAAGTTTTGAAATGTGGGGAGATATGTAAAGAAATTTTTAAGAAGTTGATTTATTAGGAAAGAGAGAGTGGAGGTATGTGGGAATATTGGTGAGGAGAGAGGAGAGAGAGTACATGAGAATATTGGTGAAGAGAGAATAGGGAGCAAAACGTGGGATAATTGTAATATTATATTAGGGGCGAACTTTCTATGCTTCCCCTACAGCATAGAAGTTTTAACTTCCCCTTTATCCAACTGTCCATTCTGAATGGAGGGTTAAGATTGCCCCAATCACAATGTCACGTCTCTACACTAATTTGTTTTTAATTTTTTTTCTATAAACTACTTTGACACCAAATTTTGGATATCCATTCCTCTATTAAACTCGCACTAGCGAAAAATATATATATGTAAATTTTTTTTAATAAAATAAAATGACCAAAATACCTTTGAAAGATTCAAGGGGTAGTTTGGCTATTGTATTTTATCAAAAAATTATTTTTAAAATTTTTTATAAGTGCGCCCCAATGAGAAGATGGTACATATCAAATTTCATATTCATAAAATTTGTATAAAGACAAAAACTAAAAATAAAATACTTTGAAATGTTGAATTTAAGATCAAAAGGTGAGTGGCACTCGATTAAAATCGGAAGGCTGGACGGTAGGGGGAGAATATAACTTCTATGTTGTAGGGGAAGCATAGAAACGTTTCCCTTATTAGGATGTATTTTATAATAATTCAATAATTATTAATAAAAATTATAATAAAACTAATTTATTTTTGTTACTATTAGTATTTACAAATGGGAAAATGTTTCTATGCTTCCCCTACAGCATAGAAATTCTATCCTCCCCTACCATCCAGCCATCCAATTTTGATAAAGAGAGCAACTCACCATTTGATCTTAGATCCGATGTCTCGAAGTATTTTATTTTTAGTTTTTTTTAGACAAATTGTATGAATATGAAATTTCGTACGTGCCATCTTCTCATTGGGGTGCACCGATAAAAAATATTAAAAATAATTTTTTGATAAAATATACTGACCAAAGTACCCCTTGAAATTTTCAAGGGTATTTTGGTCATTTTATTTTATTGAAAATATTCTTTTTATATTTTTCGCTAGTGTGAGTTTAATAGAGGAATGGACGTCCAAAATTTAGTGTCAGAATACTTTATAGAAAAAAAATTAAAAAAAAAAATAGTGTAGGGACGTGATATTATGATTGGGGCAATCTTAGTCCTCCTTTCAGAATGGACGGTTGGATAAGGGGAGGATAGAACTTCTATGTTGTAGGGGAAGCATAGAAAGCTTGCCTTTTATAAATAAATAGTTACAATTATAATATTAAATATATTTATTACCAGGAGATTATTATTTTCTTAAAAATACACTATACTTGTATGATTCATATATCAAAAAAATAAATTGCTGCAATTAAACATCAAACTAATCATCTCGACATCAAGATGTATGAA